CTGAGGCATTTACTTCCCTTAAACATCATGGGATAGCCCAGCCAGATGTTATTTGCAAGGAACAGAGCCTCACAAAAGAGTAGTTTTATAGTTTTATCGTTTTTAGAAGACAGATTGAATGCAAGTAGACTTTTAGAACTCTGAGAACTGAATCCTTCCCCCCCATCTTTATCCTTTAATAGAAAAAGAAAGTGAAAATGTATCACTGCCTCCTAACTTTTATTGTCTCTAAAGCAATTTAGCTGACTATACTCTTTAACTTAATTTAGGGATGTGGATACAAGGATAAGTGGCTGAGGTTTGTCTGCATTTTAATCCCAAAATTGTTTCTATCCTGCTGAGTCTTAAAAACATTCAGATTTGATTATTGATTATGTTAAAGACCAGAAGGATAAGTCTAAAGATTCAACAAAGTACTTTTTTACAAGCATATACATAATGTATTTTGTGATCATGGAAAATAATAGTTCATAAAAGGGAAGGTGGCAGAAACCCAGACGTTGGTTCAAATATTGTCCTTCAAAATGGAAGAATTCTAATTGTATTAAGATAGGGTAACCCTTTATTCATGGAAGATTCTGCTTTGAGAAATAACTTCCAAATTTTTTTACACAAAAACAAATACTTTTTAGTTCTTACATTACATGTTACTAGTCACTTTATTTTATTTACTTCTCATAAATGACCAGGTAAAGAAGGTAGAGTTAACTCCAGAGGCATAGAGAGGTTAAGGTCCTTAATATAGTTTATAAATGGCAGAGCCAGGATTCAAATTCTTCCATGTTCAGACTCTTCTAACAACCAATGAACAAAGTAAATTAAAATTTTTTCATCCATTGCTAGAATATACAATGCAATATTAGTTTGCTTTTTTTCTTTTTTTGGCAGTACTGTGGTTTGAACTCAGGGCTTCACACTTGCTAGGCAGGTGCTTTACCACTTGAGACACTCCACCAGCAATTTTTTGTGTTGGGTATTTTTGAGATAGCAATCCTCCTGATCTCTTCCTCCTGAGTAGCTAGGATTATAGGTGTCAGCCACCAGATCCTGGCTAGTTTGTTGTTTTAATAATATATGTGACACCAAACTGAGAGAAGTTTTATCTCCTGTAGTGAGGGTCAGTTGATACAAGATAAATGGCTTATTCCATTTATGCTTGGCTTATCAGTGATTTTTCTCATGAATAGTTTTTCATTTCCCAACTATGCTCTTGACAAGTTTTCTTCTTTTTTCTCTCCCTTCTTCCCCCCTTCTTTTAAATTTAATTCTGCATCCCAACCCCTTCTCCTACTTCATTCATTTTACTTATACCTTACTTCCTTTATTCCTAAAGCTCAGTCTTGTAGAACACCATAAACAGTTTACCATGCATCCTAGTTACCTGGTGATCTTGTCAAAAAACAGTTCTGTTTTAAGTTCAGGGGTTGGGCCAAAATTCTGCAGTCTTGCAAGTTCCCAGGTGATGCTGATACTGGTTTAAGGACCACACTTTAAATTAGCCACTAGTTAATAGTCTTTTGCAAATATTTTCTCCCAGTTCAGTGTCTTTACAAAGCAGAAATATTTAGTTTTAATGAAGTCCAGTTTATCAATTATTTTTTCATAGAGTATGCCTTTAGTATTTACATCTAAAAAGTCATAGCCAAACCCAAGATCATCTTGATTTTTCTCCCTTGTTACCATCTCAGTTTCATAGTTTTGTATTTTGAATTTTACATTTAGATCTATAATCAGTTTTGAGTTAATTTTTATGAAGGGTATAAAGTCTGTGTCTAGATTCTTTTTCTTTCTTTCTTTTTTGCCATGCAGATGTCCAGTTCCACCATTGTGGGTTGAAAAGACTGTTTTCCTCATTGTATTGCCTTTGCTCTTTTGTCAAAGATCTGTTGACTGTACTTTTATGGATCTATTTCTGAGCTCTCTATTCTGTTCATTGATCAATTTTTCTATTCTTTCTCTGATACCACACTGTCTTGATTACTGTAGTTGTACATTAAGTTTTGAAGTTGGATAGTGTCAGTCCTCCAACTTTGTTTTCCTTCAATATTGTTTTGGCTGTGCTGGGTCTTTGCCTCACATATAAAATTTAGAATCAGTTTATTATTCACAAAATAACTTGCTGATTGACTAGGATTGTTTTTAATCTATAGATCAAGTTGGAAAGAACTGACATCTTGGCAAGATTGAATGTTACAGATTGAATATTTGTGTATGGCTCACCCTTCCTCAATTCATATGTTGAAATCCTAACCCACATTGTGATAGTACTAAGAGATTGGGCCTCACAGAAGCGAATAGGCCATAAGAATGGAACCCTCTTGCATGGAATTAGTGCCTTTACAAGAGACCAAAGAGAAACCTCTCAAGTTTCATTGTCCTTCAGCAACGCAAGGACACAAGAAATCAGCAGTCTGCAACCTGGAACAGGGCCTTCCTTAGAAACCAACCATAGTGCTTCCCTGATCTTGGGCTTTTGGCCTTCAGAACTGCAAGAAGTAAAATTTTGTTGTTGAAAGATGCCTGGTCTATGGTACTTTGTTATAGCAACCCCAAATAAGACACTATCCATGAATACGTAGTATCTTTCTGTTTATTTAATTCTTTGATTTCTTTCATCAGAATTTTGTAGTATTTTTTTTCCTATAGATCTTGTGCATGTTTTGTCAGATTTATGTCTAAGTACATAACATTTGGGAAATGTAATGTAAACAGCCTTATATTAATTTCCAATTTCATTTGTTAATTGTGATTATGTTGTGATTATGTCAGAGTACACGCTCAGTAAAGAGTCTACAAAAAAATGGTAGGGGGTAGGGAGAAGTAGAATTTGTCTCCATGTATTCTAGGACCTGTCCCAAAAAAGTAGGAAAATTTTTTTTTCTAAGAAATAATATGTGATATGTTCACATACTGCTTTTACTCTTTAAAGACATTGTATTTTCTTAAGTATATTCACTAAAGTGCCCAGTTTATCAAAAGGACAGATTTTGTGCTCTTTCAAAATTGCTTAAAAATAAGTGGGATTTAAAAAAAAACTTTATATTTGTTGTATGGGGGAGATTCGTTGTGACAATTGCAATTAGGCTTATATCGTACATTAGTTAGATCACCCTCACCAACTCTCCCCCTTAACCCCTTTCCTTCAAGCAATTGCAAGAGGTTTCATTGTTCTATTTCATATGAAGTTCAACCATATTCCTTCACCTTAATCTCCTTTGTTCATTCACCCTCCCCACTCCCACAAGTACTTTTCCACACTTACCAATTTTATAGTCTTGTCTTTTGTGCGATTTTTTTAAGCTCAGTTGGTGATAACAAATTTCCTCCTGTGTGTATTTTGTTTTAGATCTCTTTCATTATATGAATATGTGTATAATACATGTTAACTGAAGACTTCCCATATATTAGGTTCTGGCTGAAATGTCCTTCCATAGAGGTCAGGTAGAGCTGAGCCATGGTTCTTCCCATCAAGAGCCAGTTCATCTAACATTATTTGTTGTAATGAGTGAGAAATCTGTAATGTAGGCATCATTATAATAATTTTAAAAATGTAATTTGTTCCTAAATTTTTACTGGCTGGCAAGGTGATCAGTTTTTACTTAGTTTTTAAAAAAGTTTTTCTTGACAAAATGTAAAATTAATGAAGATATAAAAAGCAACAATATACTATCAATTCTCTTCAGGAAAAATTCAGTGCAGTAGATAAGGTCTTACATATTTAGGACAAGTAAAACTTTTTTTTTTTTAATTTTTAAATTTTTTTTTTCATTTTTCTTTTATTATTCATATGTGCATACAAGGCTTGGTTCATTTCTCCCCCCTGCCCCCACCCCCTCCCTTACCACCCACTCCGCCCCCTCCCTCTCCCCGCCCCCTCCCTCTCCCCGCCCCCCTCAATACCCAGCAGAAACTATTTTGCCCTTATTTCTAATTTTGTTGTAGAGAGAGTATAAGCAATAACAGGAAGGAACAAGGGTTTTTGCTGGTTGAGATAAGGATAGCTATACAGGGCATTGACTCACATTGATTTCCTGTGCGTGGGTGTTACCTTCTAGGTTAATTCTTTTTGATCTCACCTTTTCTCTAGTTCCTGGTCCCCTTTTCCTATTGGCCTCAGTTGCTTTAAGGTATCTGCTTTAGTTTCTCTGCGTTAAGGGCAACAAATGCTAGCTAGTTTTTTAGGTGTCTTACCTATCCTCACCCCTTACTTAGGACAAGTAAAACTTAATCTGATACGCCAAGTTCGGTGTCCTTGCCTGACCTGTGGTCTTCTGCTGTCTTGAGAGGGCCATGTGAACTTGATGGGCGTGGTCAGGGTCCAGCGCAAGGCATGGAAGACAGGTGCCACGTTCTTCCAGCCACTCGCGGGATTTCTGGGTTCATTTGCTTGCTAGTTAAGTGAGACACTGTGCCAACTAATGCCTTCTTCCTACAGATACTTGTTTTTCCCAAATAAAGTAGTGTTAAGTAAAATGAGGTTAGCTGACAGAAAATATAATATACTGCTTAGTTGTAGTAGTGTATCAGAAATAAAAAAAGCTTCAAGAAATATAAGACATTTACATAGTGAATGAATGAATTCAGAATGCTGCTATTTATCTTCCTTCTCAACTTAGAAATTGGGAAAAGATTCATTGACAGGATTCTTTGATTTTTTTTTTTGAGCTTTGATTTTTAAAGCTAATGATTTTTTAGTCCAGTATTTCCTTAGTGATAGCTAAATATTTTTAAAGCAAAACATATTCCAAACCTCTGGTTAAGCAAGAATTGCATTTATCTTCTCCAGATTTCAAATTCATACTCGATATAATTATATATGAACCAGAATTTTACTATATTGATCTTCCAGATTTCTATTGTAACTAAAAGTAATTAGTTAATCTTAAGTTACTCCTCAGGCCTCATATTTCATTAATTTAATTATTCAAGGAAAAAAAGTAGCTTATTATGAGGAAAACAGAATAATAAATAGTGTTATTTTTGTTCTCATTTTTAATCAGTTTGGAGAGATCAGAATATTAAAACAAATATTGATGATAGCTGTTGGAATAAAGTTGCAGTGAAAGCTATGGCTAAAAATACTTTTAAATCTTCAAAGTAAAATTAAGAAGTAAAGTACTGCATCTCAATAGCAGCTTTGGATAGCAGGTATCCATTTAAAACCACTTCTAGTTTCTATATATTACTAAAAGTGAAATGGTCCTGAAGCATCTACTTTTAAAAATTAAGTGTAGGAGGATAGGATTAGCATATATGCATGATTTTTACCATAGACTTGAAATCAAATTTTCTGGCTTTTTTCCCCCTCTTTCTCCTTGTAGTGTATCGTTTTTACATTTACTTACTTGTGTATACATTGTTTGTGCCACCTCCCCCCACACACCCTAATTTCTGGCTTTTTTGATGGTACTGTGATTTGAACTCAGGGCCTTCTTGCTAGGCAGGCATTCTACCACTTATACCACACCCCCAGCCCTCTTTTGCTGTTGTTATTTTTCATACTGAGTCTTGTGTTTTTGCCTAGGCCAGCCTTAATCTCCATTGTCCCTACTTATGGCCTCCCTTGTAGCTGGCATCACAGGTATGTGTCACCATGCCCAGCTATTGATTGATATGAGGTCTTGCTAACTTTTTTACCCAGGCTTGCCTTGAACAACGTTCCTCCCAATCTCCTCCTGAGCAACTGGGCTTACAGGCGTGAACCACCACTACTGGGTCATTTTCTGTTTCTGTTACAGGTAGCATTGTCTCCTAGGCTCAAACCTTCTCTATTTTATATCTAATGATTTTTCTTCTCTTCTTCCTAACTGCTAGCAATCTAAGCCTAGCTCTTTATCAATTTATGAATGGTAATGTATGTTGGTGCCTCTAAAAGAGCCTATATTCAGTTTCCTGTTATTTCAGACTGTTGAATAATTAGCTAATTTATTATTCTGTGTAGGCTCATAGTTTTCATTAGACACTTATTTTTGAATCAAATATTCTTTTTGCTATATTGCTATTTTATGAAATACTGTGATATAACCAGTATAACTTTTAGTTTCAAATAAAATTTTAGTATATATCACAGAAATGTATATTATGTTTTAAAATTAGACCATTTACATAGAACTGTGAGGATGGTGTTCTTGAATTCAAAAGATTATCATTTTAATACTAAGAGTTGGAAGATTGCTGAAGCTATGATTATTTTAGAGCCATTTAAACAAATAGTTGCTTTCTGGAGTGATTGTGGCCTCATGAGTAATGCTGCTTACTCAGTTTGTTGGAGATAGCCCAACATGAGGCTCTCCCAGGTACCATCTGGTATCAGTGGGAGTTGATATTTAAAGAGCCCTATCAAATGCCAAAAGATGAAATTGAAGATGTAGAAAAGAATCTTTTAATGTCACCCCACTTCACTGATAGCACTACTTTTCTAAAAATCTGCGGAGTCCCTTGGTTATCTCAACTTTATTATGCATTTTTGCCAAATGATGTGACAAGATTGCATGCATGGAGCTTGTCTAGAACCCTGCTTTCTTCAACTCAGCATTGTCTTTTTAAAAAAAAACTTCTTTTCTCAAACGTAGGGTTGACTTGCCACTATTATGTACATAATTTTTATCTGTGCCTTCTACCAAATTTTTTTTTCCAGTTTTTAAAGTAATTGTAACTTTCTTTTCATACCCAACCATGAACAGGCAAAATGCCATTAGTTAAGGTATGATCACTGTGTTCAGGTTATTTATCATATAACTGAATAAATTAGACATTCATGGAAAATTGAAATAATGTAAGAAATAATTCAGAACAGGTAATTAGCAGTTTTCATGGTGTGAAAGAAGCATCTGTTAAGGCCATTGAAGGTAGATTTGGCTTGAGCTACAAGAGGAAGAAAGTAGGCATCCTTTCTAAATAGACTAATAATTGACTCAAATTTTCATTATTAACTCCAACATGAGTTACATGATTTTACGAAATACGCTGCGCTAACAGAGTCCCATAACAGACCTGAGTAAATTCATTTATTAGATGTGTAGGCAGCAGCAACCAGAGAACATTGAAAAATATATTGGAAAAAAGGAGACTCAAGTCTCTGCTTGTCAACCCATCTTATTGGCCATCATTCAGACAGCTGTAGAATTTCACGTCTTCTAACATTTTCTCCAGTTACAGAAAAGACTTCATAGCGTTTTTTTGAAGTTTACTTCTAGAGCTCAAAGGAATGCGTCTCATTTTTTACATCAAAGGTACCTTCAACACCTTGCCCTTAAAGTAATCTTTCTGTATGTTATTTTCATGTTTAATTCATTTTATCAAAAATTTTAAATATCCTGTTAAATCTAATGGGGTATTCATAAACTAGGCTTATAGCATAAACTTTAAAGTTTCTGCAAAAGAAAAATTCTAATTTTCTTATTCCTATCTTTAATAAAGATCCAAATGAGATATCACTGTATACTCATTAGATTGGCAAAATTAAAAACATTGACTAAGCTTTGGTGAGGATATGGAACAACTGGAGCTCTATTGGTGGGAATGTAAAATGGTAAAACTGCTTTGGAAAATACTGTGATAGTCTTTGAAACTATTGAACATACTTATAAAAATCCAACCAGTCTACTCCTAAGTACTTACCCAAGAAGAACAAAACATATCCACATAAATACTTATATAAAATGCTCTTAGTAACTTTATAGTTGTAATTCTCAGAAGTGAAAGTGACCTTTACGTCCATAAGTAAATTCTGGTACAGTCACACAATGAAATTCTATTCAACCATATATAGGAATGTACTGTTGATACATGCAACAACATGGATGAGTCTTAAAATCCTTAGACTGGGCCAGGCATGGTGGTGCTAATCCCAGTAGTCGGGAGCTTGAGACAGGAGGATCTCAAGTTCAAGGCCAACTTGGCCCTACATAGTAGCAAGACCCTGCCTCAAAAAAAAAAAAAAATCATTGGGCTAAATGAAAAAGGCAGACAAAAATGAATAATTACTTTGTGAGTCCATTTATATAGAATTCTATAATAAACTAATCTACAGTGACATATAGGTTAAGTTGTATGTACTTAGTGACACAAATGGAGCGAAGGAATGCAAGGGGTACAGAGACAATTTGGGGGGTGATTGTGGTGATATTGCAGTGTGAAGCTGCATTAAAGGTGCTTTAAATTATCAAATTGGCCAGGCATGATGGTACATGCCTATAATCCCAGCACTTGGGAGGCTGAGGCAGGAAGATAGTGTGTTTGAAGCCAGCCTGGGTTATGTCTCAAAAGAAGAATCAATCAAGTTTCATGCAAGTATGGGCAATGTATTAGTTTTGTACTGCAGCTTAAGTAGGTACCACACATTTATCAGATTAAAAACACTGGTAATTATCTCCCAGTTTTGTAGATCAGAAGTCTGACTGGGCTTAACTGGGTGAGCTGCTTAGGGAATCAGAAGTCCAAAATCATGGCATTGACTGATCTGCATTCCTTTCTGTAGGTTCTGGGGAAAAATCAGTTTACAAGCTTACTCAAGTTAGTAGAATCCAGTTCCTTGCAGTTGTAGGACTGAGATGCCTGTTTTCTTCCTGAGTGTTAACTAAAGGTTGCTGTTGTCATGTAGAGCTGCCCTCAAGTACTTTCCGGATAGCTCCCTCTGTCATGGAGCTAGCAGTGATATGTGGGATCTCCCTCAGGCTTCAGTCTTTATCTTCCTCTTCTACTACTACCTGGAGAAAATTGCTTTCCGAGGGCTTATGTAGTAGATTAGGTCAAATCTACTCAGAGAATTTCTATATTTTAAGGTCAACTTGGTTACTAACCATAATTATATCTTCAGAATCTCTCAACCTTAATATAGTCATAAGAGTAGCAGTAGGAGTTGGAGATCATGAAGCCATCTTAAAATTCTGCTTATCAAATAACTTACTGTGTTTCATTAGGCCTCAATAAAGTTTATGTCCATATTTTATAAAAACAGGACAAAAAGTTGTAACATATGCATACAGAGGATTAGTTGTAAGACTTAAACTGTAGGTTGATTTTTCTAACTGATCTTTGATTTAGCACAGCATTTCTATGGCTAAATCAGGGAATAGAACTAAAATAATATATCCAGTCCCTTTTTTATATTTGTATTTTCTTTTATCTCTGATGGAAAGAAGCAGTAGAAAGATAGTGATATAAGCCAAGGGTGGTGGTACACATCTGTAATTTCAGCAATTGACTGGCTGAGGCAGGAGGATTGAGAGTTTAAGGCCAGTCTGGGCTACATAGTGAGACCCTATCTCAAAAAAGAAAGAAAGAAAAAAAAGAAGGGCAAAAGAGAGGTGAGGATGTAGCTAAAATCAAACATAATTGAAAAGGTGATTCTATAAATTTTAGCTCTTGGCTCAAAATTGTGAGTAACAATATTATGATTTAATGTATATTTGTGAATCCAAATTCAAACCTCAAAATCCCTATTATTTTGACTTGTGCAAAGGTGCCCATTTTGTTGATCTTCCTACTGTTTAAAATAATCCTGGAGGGTTTTTTTTGGGGGGGGGAGGGGCCTGGGGTTTGAATTCAGGTCTTTTGTACTTGCATAGCAAGTGCCCTACTGCTGGAGCCACACTTCTAGTCGATTTTGTTCTGGCTATTTAAGAGTTGGGGTCTCATGAACTGTTTGGCTGTGTAATCCTCCCAGTCTCAGCCTCCCAAATAACTAGGATTACAGGTGTGAGCCACTGGTACATGGCTGGAATTCTTGAGTTTGTAGAATTCTTCCCTTTTAGAATGTAGGGAATACTATTTGTATATAATGCAAGAGTTTTTATCTTCTCCTTGTTTGTTTTTCAGAAAGGATTTAATCAAGAATAATGTATTTAATATTTTATTATAATTATTTAATGATCAAAAATTTTAGAAATGATGGTTTTTTTATAGAGTAGATAAAACTTTAGAATAAAATTTGGTTGGTTTTGCTTGGATGTTTAGACAGTATACAATACCAAGTGTTAGCAAGATTGTCAGACAAACTGGCACTCTTGTAAGTTGCTGGTGAGGTATAAATTGCTTCAAGCCTTTAGAAAACTAGCAGTATTTACTAAAGCTCTGCTTACACATGTGTCTATAGA